AGTCCACTATCCTTGAAGATTGAGCACAAATGTCCCCTTGCTATGAGTTCTCTAATAATGATGGTTTCCTTTCTAAATATCCCTTATGTTCTGGAATTAGGAACTAGAAAAATAAGAGAAGGGACTCTCCATAGGCTCGAGTCACTAAGAGGTACATCTGAAACAATAAGACTTTAAAAACTCAGCCTAAAAGAGACAGCCAGAGTGAGGCAAGTATGAAGGGCTAGAAAGGATCTCCTAGTGATATGATGATACATGAACGGTGCAGAGAGCCCTGGCCAGTTTTGCTCAGCGGTTAGAGCATCAGCCCACCGACCAGAGAGTCCCGGGTTCGGTTCCCACTAAGGGCACATACCTCGGTGGTTGTAGTTTGTCCCCAGCCCCGGTTGGGATTGTGCTGGTGGCAGCCACTTGATGTGTCCCTTTCACGTCGATGTTTCTCTCTCTCTCTCCCTCCCACTCTCTCTGAATAAAATATGGAAAAATGTCCTTGGATGAGGATAACTAACTAACTAAATAAATAAAATAGCTTTTATGTGACTTTCATATTCTATTTCTGTATTGCATCTTCAATATCCACATGCACTTGACATTATAGTTCATCTCAATTTGGACTAGCTGTCACCATGCTTAGCTAGTTATGAAAAGGAAAGAAAGCAAAGGAGAGTCAGACATTGCTAAGCATGGTCAGCTAGGGACACTGGGCCTGTTGTCTTCACTAGGAAACTACAGCTTCATACCCCAAGAAATTGTAGCATTGTCCCTCCACAGGGATTAACACCCCTCCCTTCCCCACTCGGGTACTGGATTGTGGGTTGGAGGAACAAGGGGGCATTAGGACACGTGCAATAAAGTCAAAATTGTGCAGGGGAGGTGATTAACCACAGAGGCCTATAAGTCTAACCTGGGGAAAATGTCATTGGCTAGGGGGTAGAGCCAATGCAAGCCCATGAAAGCTTTGGAAGTATATTGGTCATTTTGAAAAACTTCTGATTCCTCCCAAGCCTGAGAATATATCATTCCAGGAAAACAAACAAACAACAACAACAACAACAACAAAAAAAAACAAAGAAGAGCTCTCTCTCTCTCTCTCTCTCTCCATCTCTCTCTGTGACCCACATTCTCCCATGTGTTCACGTGTTCTGCTTCCATAGCCATGTGATCTTTGCAGCTGCATGACAGACAGCCATGCATCTCCAAGTGCAGGCTCTAGGCGGAAGCCTGAGCTCAGCAGCAAAGCAAGGAATTGTAGCTGGGAACACACGCTAACCTAGACAGATGCTGGACATTGACTCTCGTTTCTGGTCCTGATTTTCCATGGTGAGAGGGAAAGAGATGGGACCTTGGGGATCTCCATTAACTTTGCTTCCTAAGTAAATCATCCTCCTTTGGGTCACTGGAAACGCTTTTCCTTGTGATACTACAAGAACCCCCCATTCACTGGCAACATAGTCACATTTCAAGTGCTCAATAGCCACATACACCTAGTGGCAACCATATTGGACAGCACAGCTTTGAAGTACAATCAGACCTCGGGTCTTGAACGGCTCCCATCTTGAACAATTTGATTTGGTCCAAAAACCCTTTCATGCTAATACCTGTATGATCAGTCACACATCCCTCAGGTGACAAACAAAGGAGAGAATGTGTGAGTATGAGTCAGTTCATCACTAAACCTCACATTGTTAACATCTCAGGAAATTGTACTGTAAATATTTTGGTTTTTTGCTTTTGAAGGTCTGGAATGGATTAATTCAATTTACATTATTTCTAATGGGGAAAAAAATGATTCTGTTTTTGAACAGTTTCTGAAACAGCCTTCAAACTAATTAAGTTTGAAAACCCAGGTTCCACTGTACATCACTATCACCTGGAGGGCTTGATGAAACAGACTGAGGGTCCCTGCCTGCAGAGTTTCTGATTCAGTTGATCCAGAGTGGGGTTCAGTAATTGGCATTTCTTACGGGTGATGCAGATGCTACTGGTCTGGAACCACACTTTGAGGACCACTAGTTTAGGTAAGTGGTTCTCAAGCCTGGCTGCAAGTTAGACATACCTAATAACTAAACGCAAGGGGAAAACATTATCGTACAGGTCACAGTCCAGGCCACTTACCACAACTGTAGAGGTCAGATCAGGGCATTGCTGTTTTAAAACATTTTCCAGGGGATTTTAAATATCAGCCAGGTTAGAGAATCACAGAGGTAGGAGGAGAAAAGAGACTAGAAACATGTTTTCGTAGACAGAGAAGAGCTAAATTTTCTCTTTTTTAAAGGAAAATTGGCCCTCGCTGGTTTGGTTCAGCGGTTAACACATTGACCCATAGACCGAAGTGTCTTGGGTTTGGTCCCTGTCAAGAGCACGTACCTTCAATCCCCGGCCCCTGTCAGGTCATGTGGAAGGCAACCAATCGATGCATCTCTTCCATCGATCTCTCTCTCTCTCTTCCTCTCTCCCACTCTATCTAAAAATCAGTGGAAAAATATCCTCAGGAGAGGATTAAAAAAGGGAAAATTGATTTAATCTTATAAGTAACAGGGAGTCTCAGTATGTTTTTAAACAGGGCAATAATATGTAATGAAAGCATCATTGTGCTGAGTGGTTTGAACTGCTAATGACCTGTAACAGGTAAGAGAGAAAGGTTTAAAATTGTTCAAAAGCTTGACAAGATTGGAACAATGAAGAAGGGGTGAGAGTAAGAGGAGATGAGAGAGTTATACATACTCGGTTCAATTTGACAAGTATATTCTATAGCATGATGGAATAAAGGGTATGGACTATATATCAACGGAAAATTGTGCTGAGCAATAAACCAGCAGTCACACACTGAAATCACTACAAAGGCCATGTAAGAGAGGTAACCAAAAAAAGGGGGGGATCCCTAGTAATAAATCCGCATGCACATTGTGTGAGTGATGGAAGCTATATTTGATGACATTTATTAGGCCTGATCCCTAGTGGGCAGTTTCCTCCAGATGTTACCTGTTATTTGTCTCCCATGTTTGCCCGCCTTCTCTTGTCTCCAGACGTTGTCATTCCCTCAGGCTAGACTTAGCACTCTCTTCAGAATCCTTGTCTCTGGTTGGTAGACCCTTTCCTTGTCTGAGCCTCTGGCTTAGGTTGAAACTTCGTGAAAATGAATTATCAAAGGTACTTGAAGTCAGCCGAAACTATGAACAAAAGCCAACAAAATTCAGCAGTTCCTGGTGAAAGTCCCCAGTTTGGAATGACTGCAGATAGGGGTGTGTGTGGGTGGGTGAACAAGCATAAATGCGTGATGAAAATATGATTTCACAATCTGAAACCACACTATCTATCACACACCACAGGCACATACTCTGTGGGAGTAGAGATGGACAGTTGCCAACATGTCACAGATTTATATCACTTAAAAGCAGTAGGGAAAAAGCCACAAGAAATAAATAAATGAAATGGTATCATAGGTCCACCGCACATCACCTCATATACGATATTTAGCTTATCGTGCTTGAAAACATGCTTAAATATAACAAGTAGCCAACAGAAAATATCTAACGTAGTAATTAGAGATATCAGCCAACACATGATTAAATCAGCTATTTCATGTAAATTGTAATTTATATTCATACTTACTCATTTCAGGCTGATTCCTTCCTATTTAAGAATCTGGACAGAGTCTTCAGAGACTATTAATAGGAACCTTGAGAAGATTATTAATGAGTTTTTAAGATTGAATTGCTGTTACCATTACTAACACCTGGATTACTTGTTCTCTATTAGGTATTTTTTTCTGTTCCCTTGGCATCTCCTTTTTTCTCATCCAGATTTTTAAAATATTCCCACTGAGCCCATTAACAAATTGCCAAATCAGATTGGCAATAAATTGCATCCTGGAGCCTAAATTTTAAATCTGAAAAGCCTTGTTTCTTTTCACAACATGCCCCCCTAAAAATGCTGGTACAAATCTGGCTCTGGGCCAGAGTTCCTATTTTCCTGAGAGGAATGTACCATCCTCCCAGACCCATAATCAGCATGCTACAGAATACCACCACGTTCATCTAGGACATCTTCTTTTTAATACTCAATGTGATATTTTATTATATTTCTTAGCTGTGGTACCTCCCTTTTCCTTGTACCAGTTTATTATGAAATTACTATTTCATTTATATCTTGTTATTTTTATTTATCTTTTAATTGAATTTTTTGGATGATATTGGTTTGCAAAATTATTCATTAAAGCCCAAAACTCTAGGTTACAAATGCAAATGAGTTTGACAATAAAATGATGTATTTTAACACAACCTGTTTTATATAGTAAGAACTATTGTACTTACTCTGCCATTAAAAGTTGCCTGAAGAATTTTTTTTCTACACGTTAAGTAAAAAACATTGTCAAATAGTATATCAGTACTTCTAATGTTGAGTATTACCTAGCATTATATTTCACAACTACTCATTTTATAAATTCAAAATTGCTACTCAACTCCATATTCTACAATGCACTTTAGAAATGCTTTTTTATAATGGTTACAACATAAATTAATGGAAAGAACATTATGAAACAGTATAAAATACAGTTACATAAATATGAAAATAGTCGGTTTTCTTGACTTCAAATGTAGATTTCTGACTTCCTTAAATTTTATCAAAAATCAAAGAGAACATCTAAGTAATTGGAACATACAGAAAGACTGAAAAAAAGTATTTGGAACTAGGGCTTATCACTGACCATGATGATAAGCAATTTATTCAAAACATTCATTAGTTTTGAAACATTTATTTTCTCTTCTCTCTTCTTTCCATTTTCTTAAACAGCAGATAATGTGGTCTTTCCCCCCTCAGTTCCATTACATCAAAAGAGTAAAGTGTTAACATTTCACTTAAAGAAATATAATACTTTAAAAACAATGAAAATAAACCTTGTGTTCCTTAACTGCATTCATGCTGACATGTTAGTCTTCTTATCAGATGATGGCCAAAATCCAAAGTGCAGAACAATATTCAGAAACCATGAGTTCAATTCAGATATCATCAATGTCTTCATCATCATCTCCAATATCATCAAACTGGATTTCATCGTCATCTCCGGGACCAAAGGTGTCCGTTTCATTGATTTTAGCATGTTCTGGAAGCTCCCCATAGGCCTTCAGACTTCTGGCTTCATCCGCGTTGTACTTCAAAATCACATCGGCTTTGTTCTCCTGATAGTCCCGCAGGCCAACCAGTATGATGTCTGAGGTGTTGATCCAAACCTTCTTCCTCAGTTTCCCTCTGATGTGACATAACCTCTTCACACCATCGAAGCACATTGCTTCTAGTCGTCCATTTCCCAACATTTTGATGACCTGCGCGTACTCCTGTCCGTCCTCTTTGAAGACCAACTCCCTTTTCTCAGATTCATTCTCGTTCTTCCCCCTACGCCTGTTTTTACCTCCTTTGCCTTTGTTCTTGGGCATGATGGCTCCGGCCGCCTCCGGGCGTTGGGGACCGGGGCCCACGAGCTGTAACAGCCGCTGATGACACGTAACAGTCGCCGGTCTCGTGCCGCGCTGGGTGCCCGGCGACCACAGGCGACCCCGCTCCTCCATAAGCGCCATCCAGGACCTCTTTCTCCCATCTTCTTCCGCAGTATCTGATCGCATTGGTTTTAGCCATAAATTCCAAATCCCTTTTGACTTACGGGGGAAGGAATTCTTTGGAAACCACTTAAGATCAGTGCAATAGTATGGATCCTGCAGGTCTCCACAGTCCCCATGAACGGTGGTTTAAGAGCTTATTGCCTCCACCTGTCCCTACTGTCCTGTTGTTGATAGGGACGGAGAATATTTTATTTCAGCATTGTAAACAGTAAATGCGTCTCCTTCTTAGTCATTCAATCTCAGGCTAAAACAAGAGGCCGTGAATGCTAATTTTCACTCCCAACTCGACTTTTCAACTTAAAGGTTATTTGGATGTAAAGCTTAAAGTACACAGGTGATGAATAGTTCGCTATTTTAAATGACAGTAATAAAAATGTCTCACGAAGCCCTTGCCAAGACAGGCGTGAATGAGAACATTCACATTGTAAAATCAATGAAATCAAAAGTATTTTTTAAAATGCATTTCTTAGAACAGCAAATAGGAGTTGGATCTACTTTAAGGACTTCTTCAGATGTTCAACCCTTATTATAACTCAAATAAGCCAGCTGGTTCTAGTATAATACAACTCAGCAAATACTTCCCCAAATAAGGTGGGCTTCATTGACTTTAAGCTTGGAAAACACTTTCAACTGAACCTGAATTTCTGGAAAAGAACTGCTCTTGCTAGTATGCTGAGTAGGCGTTAAAACATTCCTTCTGGGTAAACGTCTTCCCAACGTAATCTGTCAGAAAGTAGCCACAGCAGTTAGATATCCCTACACCATGTAATTAGTATTTTCGGAGCCTCCTAAGAGAACTCTTGCAAGGATCAGCACTTATGAATATTGAACATAAAGGATAAAACTCTTACAAGTAATCTTTGCCCTATATGTAGTTGGTAAAGCAAATCTTTTGTATTTTTCAGCTAATTCTCAGTTGGATCTTAATTCTTTTCAAATGAACTAGCTCCCTACTTTGATGTCATGCAGATCACAGCTTGGTTGTGAACCTAGGCAGCAAAATTAAGCTGGACAAGCATCAGTGCACAATATGATGCTATCAGAAAGACTGTAAATTACCCTGCAGTGTAAAATGAAGCCTAGAGGTCGTCGGTGAACCAACCACACTTGTGAATTGTGCTTCAAATTTGGGCTGATCTGTGAAAAAGAAAGAAACAAACTGTTAGAGCAAATTTTGATTCAAAATCTAGAGAACTGTTACCAACAGGGGAAAAACAATCTATATCCAAAGCCTATAAAGCATAACATTTCGGACTCCAAACACAAAGGAAAATTCCAAAAGATATCTTCTTAATTTTCAAATATGCTTACCAGCCTATAATGATGAATGTATAATTTAGTTACTGAGAAAGAAAAATAAGCCAGGCTGCAGGCAATTTTACCTGTAGGATTTGTGCTAACTCTCTTTCTTGAGTTTTTTTTGCTTCTATCTATACCAGAGCCGCTCAGAAATATTACCCTCCAGTCATCTGAGTGACTCATTCCTATCACTCAGCTTGAAAACAAGATCTCTATGTATTTATCTTTGCTAGATATTATTGGTATCTACCAAAATGTCTAGTGCATAATAGACACTCAGTAAACATTTGTGGTAAAGACTTTAACTTCAGCCAGTGGCTGCAGATGACTGTTTGGTCTGTACAGAGCTAATGGAGACTTATAAAGGAATATTCCCAATGCCATGACTTCTAAGTTGGTTTGTGGGTCCTCAATGCTGGAATAAGCTATTTGTGCAGAACTCAGTCTGAGAATGGAGAAGAAGATCAGTCTTAAACTGGGGCTGTGATTCAACTGTGAATAATTTATAAATTATTCATAAAACTGAGAAAAACAAAAAGCTATATGCAGCATATTAGTACTGCTAAACAATGTATGTTAGTCTCTCATAGATATTTTTTACTATATAAACATTACCAGCTGGCCTAAAATTTCAGCCCCTGCTTTAAAGTCTTCTTTTTGTTTCTGTGCCCTTAGGAACCGACTGGTATTATTTATTTAAGTTGACATAGGTTTTTATTTTTAAATTTAATATATAATAATATAATATATAGTAAATATGGAACATTTAGAATATACAGGAATGTTTGAAAAAGTTCTAAATCAATATTTATTCTTCTACACTCAAGAATCAACATTTTAGTTATCACCTTTTAGTTTTTAAAAAAATACATAGAAACTACAACCGTAAAGGACAAGGCTGACTCAAGCCAGAACACCTACAGTGAAGCTTTCTCTCATAGGTCTCTCTGGACCTCACTCTCACGTATCAACAGCCAAAAATACATAGAAGGAAGAACGCAAAGACACATATCATATGTGAAAAGCACCTCTGACAGAGGAGAGCAGAATCCTTATTTTATTGTATATAATTTGTACTGCTTAAATTATTTAAATGGTGTGTTTGTGTGTGCTTATAAAAGAAAACACTTAAAAAGAGTTAAACGATCACTTAAAATGAGGGTAAAAGGGTATTATATATCATAAATTTCTATTTGATTTGACTACTAGAATAATCAAAACCTATTTTACATAAAATGGTAGTAGCTAACCTACACTGAAACCTCATGATTGGTGTGTTTTAAATAGAATTTTCTCTTCATTTCCTACTCCATTGCCACCTTTAACTTAATTTTTGGCATTTTTAAAATTAATTTATTTTTGTTAAAGATGTTTCTCTCCCCTCCCTCATATTTTTGGCATTTCTTATATTTACTTTTGTTACTGCAATTTACTTCAGTGATTATTTTGTGCGTTCAAATTTTTGTTGATTTTGAGAAATAGATGAAATATAAATTAATTAACATACAAAATCAGAAAAATATCCAATATACTGTAGCTATCAAAAAAATCCAACCAACTAACCCAAATGATATTTAAGACTTCATGAAGAAAATAGCATACATTACTATGGCCTATTTCTCCAGAGGTCTCCAACCCAAAAATTAAAAGTGTATTTCACCAACATCAGTCAACCACGTGTCCAGGCCCTTGGCCCACCTACTTTTTCAGAATCTCCTTCTGCAAAATGTCCGCTCTTCAAGCCCCCACACCAGAAGTCCACAGGAAATGTCACACATGAGCTGAGAAACCAGCAAACATACGGCAGTTTCCTTTCCTGCTCTGGCTCCCTTTGTAGATGTCACCCCTTTACCCAAATGACTGAATGAAAGCCCTTTAACACTCCCCCCACCCCCGTACCTGCAGTTGTGTTTCTCCAGGAATTGCGCCCTTAGACAAGCACTCTACATTGCCACCAGGTACTATTTTGAGCTTCTGCTAATCTTCACCCTTCTTTTTACCTACTCAGCTTCCTTTGGTGGGTATACCACTTCCCCTGGTAATGTCCTCCTCTCTCCCCCGCCAAGCACAGCTGCCACCTCCACAGGCTGGCCAGCCACTTACTGTGTCCATTGGGTCAAGTCTTGATTATCTGCTGAGTTATCTGTGTTCAAGGTTGGGCTGTGTTCTGTGGTGAAGACCAGAGGACCCCATTCTCATTTAGGATTATAATTTGCTAGAGGAACAGCAAAGAAATACACATGTGACCTAACAACTTGAACAATTCATAGGAACACAGTATTTTCTCCTTTTAATAACAGAGTTTCTCCTGTGGAAAATCTAAATACGAATAAAGAATGGATTGAAGGGAATATCGGTGCGACAGGAGGTGCTGTGCTCTTTTCAGAGCTCTCCGCCCTGCCTGTTCCCCACTCACATCTAAGGATCCATTATTGATGTCACTTGTTATCTGTCACCCTCCTCTCTGAGAATTAGTTCTCTTTTAGTAGATACCTCCTTGTCTCATGCAAATAAATGTCAGGGGACTGCCCCATCAATTTCCCAGATACTACTAGATGTGTCATAATTCCAAAGGTGTTCTTGGCTTCCAGTCGAACCTAAACTCCACTGGAGATATAAATGAATGACTTGAATAAATAAGGAGCTCTAATGCCATATTCTTGAGTGGGAAACTCAATATTATTTACAACATTTTTTTCTAAATTAAATAAAGCTTGAACCTACATATCAAGTATCACAGCTTGGGGAATGCAAATAGTCATAGTATTTTTAATATTTAAGTAAAAATTACTCTAATCTCTGTTCTGCTCATCGTGAAAATTCATGGTCGAGACCAAATTTTTCAGCTTGAGCCCAAGCCTGGTACACCCTTAGAATTCTGACAGGTCTGGTAGCGTGCTTTGATTACCTTGCCAAGAAAGATTTGGCCTATAATTATATTTCATTCAGATTAATGGAGGAAAAATATTTCCTTTATTTACAAACTTAGTTCATATATACTTTGACCCATAAACTTATTTATTATTAAATAAATGAATATTATATCATAGTTTTGTATTTATTGATCATGTAATTATTGGTCACTAAGATCTCTGTGATTATCAATACAGGTAAATAATTTAATGTAATTATTTCATTAGGTGATGCATTATACACATGGCATTGACTGTATTTATTGTATTTTAAACAGATGACCCTTCAGGAAAGAGTTTCTTGTAATTTATTTATTTATTTTATATTTGACACATTACATTGTATTAGTTTTATGTGTACAACATACTAATTTCATATATGTTGCCTGAAAGTTATTTAATTTTTTTCCTTCTTATTTCTATGGTGCCTCTTATTGGATCAGTTCAAAGGCAGCCTTCAACAAATGAAGATTGAAAAGCCAACCCGTGTAGAAAGGAGAGTGAGTGAATAGATAATATTCTGACTGTGGAAAGGATTTTTAACAATCATCATATTCCCAAGTCAAAGAAAAAATAACATTTCAGTGGAGTGCAACTTACTTTAGT